ATTAGTATCACTCACACAGCCCTAGTCTAACTGCACAAATCTCTGTTCTAGAGCTCAAAATGTTGCCTGTGATTGCTGCTCTAACACTGCTTCTGATCAGCTCCAGCAACTCTCACAAGAGATCTGAAAAAGATAAATAGATACAAGCAGGGGTAGTTTCCTGCCAGAGCGGTGCTCTGGCAGTAAGGAGCCCAGGGGCGGGCACGTGCAGCAAGCCCCACCCCCAGCAGCCGTCAGTCGGACCACGAGGAGCAGGAAGCAGCAAGGTAAGTTGGACAGCCCCCGGCTTTCCCTGGCCCGCCCGCCTAAGTGGGCTGGCCGGGGAACGCCTTCCACGGAGTGGGGAGGTATTTGCATGCCTCCCCGTGCCTTCCCCTGCCCACCCACAGAAGCAGGGGCTTGATGGCGGTGGGGGCTTGATGGGGAGTGGGCCGAGGGTGCCCAGGCCGTGGGTAGCTTGGCCACTCCAGTGGGGGTGGGCTTGCTTTGGGTGGGGTGTGTTTGTGTGTCTCTCTGTCTCTGTGTTCCTCTGTGTCTCTCTCTGCCCCTCTGTGTGTGTCTCTCTCCCCCCTCCGTGTCTCTCTCTGACCCTCTGTGTTTCTCCCTGCCCCTCTGTGTGTGTCTCTCTCTGCCTCTGTGTGTGTGTCTCTGCCCCTCTGTGTGTGTCTCTCTCTCTCTGTGTGTCTCTCTGACCCCCCCTCTCTGCCCCTGTTTGTGTCTCTCTGCTCCTGTCTCTTTGCCCCTCTGTGTCTCTCTGTCTCTGTGCGTGTGTGTGTGTGTCTGTCCATGTGTGTCTGTCCATCCCTCTGTGTATGTTTCTCTCTCTGTTCCTCTGAGTGTGTTTTTCTCTGTCCCTCTGTTTCTCTGAGTCTCTCTTTGTGTCTCTCTCTATTTGTCTTTCTCTCTGTCTTTCTTTGCCTATTAAGGTCAGTATTGTTTCAAGGGGTTTCAAGCTCATACCTTAATTAAAACTTTGTTGGTCTTAAAGGTGCCACTGGACTCAAACTTTGTTAGACAAGACAGGCAGACAGTATTATTTTCTCTTTCTGCCTTCCCTTGGTGTGAAATATTTGGATGATGGTAAAATGCAGACCTTTTTATTTGGATTTAAGTGACTTTCTGTAGCTGGGGCCATGTGGTTGTTGTCTCTAGATGAGGCTGAATGAGGGAAACATGGCTTAAGGTTCCAGAGAGGTGCAAAGTGCACAGCCCCAAGGGTTTTGTCAGGCCTTTTTCTTGTTGTTGTTCAGTCACGCAGTCGAGTCCGACTCTTCGCAACCCCATGGACCAGATCACACCAGGCCTTCCTGTCTTCCGCCGTCCTCTGACGTTTGCTCAATTTCATGTTCGTTGCATCTAAGACAGTGTCTAACCATCTCATCCTTTGCCGTCCCCGTCTTCTTTGACCTTCAATCTTTCCCAGCATCAGGGTCTTCTCCAGTGAGTGCTCCCTTCTCATTTGGTGGCCAAAGTATTTGAGCTTCAGTTTCATTATCTGGCCTTCCAGGGAACAGTCAGGGTTGAAAGTGCCATCAAGTCGCAGCTGACCAATGGTGACCTCGTAGTGATTTTTAAGGCCTGAGAGGTTCAGAGGTGGTTTGCCATTGTTTTCCTCTGTGTCACAACCCTGGGCTTCCTTGGTGGTCTCCCATCCAAGTACTAACCAGGGCTGATCTTGCTTAGCTTCAGAGGGTCTGACAAGATCGGGCTAGCCAGGGCCATCACAACAACAGAAGGCTGGCATTTTAAGTACCACTTAATTGGGATGATCACTGCATTTCAGAAGGAGTCAGGTTAATGATGTCTTCAACGGGTCCTTTAAAAAGAATTTTGTCATAGATGTAATGTATTGAAATGATTACATGAATCACCTCATAGGACTCCCCTGTTAAGCTTCGAGCCAGACCAGGGCTCCTCTGAG